CTGCCAAGGCCTGAGCTCCCTTGCCATGGAGAAATTCCTCCTGGTGTCCAACCTGAGCCTCCCCTGGCACAGCTTGAGGCCGTTTCCCCTTGTCCTGTCCCTGTTCCCTGGCAGCAGAGCCCGACCCCCCTGGCTGATTATGGGGAATTCTCTTCCATCCTGGGAGAAGAGGAATCCATTCAGTAGGAAAAGCAGGCTGTCCCCTCTTGCTGGGACAGGAGCAGTCACTGCTCTGTGTGCAGCAGTTCAGCTGTTGGGATCAGGAGCTCAGCTTGCAAACACTGCTCTCAGCAACAGCTGTTGCTATTTTTGTTGGTTCCACCAGATCGAGCTGGGAAACAGTGAAAATTCAGGACCTTGGGAGTGCCCAGCAAGCAGGAGCACTTGGAATTCAGCTCCCGAAGCACTGCTGTTGAATCCGTTCTTATTTGATGTGATAGGGAAATAGCCATGCTTCAGCAGAGAGTGGATTTCTGGCTCCTTTCTTTTGGAAAAATTCTGCAGGAAGCAAAATTCCCTTGGCAAAACAGCTTTGTTATTGTGGAGGTTCAGAGGGACACAGAGGGAAACTGCGGTGAGTGAACTCCTCAAACCCATCCAGTCTCACCCCCTGCCATGGCCAGGGATACCTTCCACTATCCCAGGCTGCTCCAAGCCCCAAAGTCCAACCTGGCCTTGGACACTGCCAGGGATCCAGGGGCAGCCCCAGCTGCTCTGGGCACCCTGTGCCAGGGCCTGCCCACCCTCCCAGGGAACAATTCCTTCCCAATATCCCATCTATCCCTGCCCTCTGGCAGTGGGAAGCCATTCCCTGTGTCCTGGCCCTCCATCCCTTGGAAATACCCTGAAATGTTAAGTCACGGAAATAAATCTTTCTCTGGGGGCTTGTTCTGCATCCTGGTAAATATTTATGAAAGTTTCCACTTTCCCAAGGTCAGCTGGTATTGGATCAGCCCAGGAATTGCTGGAGTTGCAGACTGTATATAACACACATTGGGATGATTTATAGGGAATACGAGCAGGGAGGAGGAAGGATAAGAAAGACACAGCTCATTTTTCCTCTTTTCCATTCAGCTCTGGATTCCTCATCAATACCCATTTTCCCAGCCAGCCTGAGAAAGAACCAAGATGTAAAACCATATTTGTTTATATAGTGTATATATAATGTATATTAAATGTATAAATGTTAAACACCAGACAAAAATCAGGCCTGGAGTGCTCTGTGTGTCCTGGAAACTGCAGAAGTTTAAAACCATAAAGCAAAGGAAGGATTTTGGAGTGATTCCAACAGGAGGAGCCAGCTGTGATCCTATGAAACAAGGATATAGAAAAGCCAGAGAGGCTGCAGCTTTCCTTTTTCCCTGCCTTTCTTTGCCCATGGAATTCCAGAATGGATTGGGTTGGAAGGGCCCTTAAAACCCATCCCATTCCACCCCCTGCCATGGGCAGGGATACCTTCCACTGTATTGACACCTATAAATATTCCATATTTATATTAGCTGTGCACATATATCTATATATATACAGCCTATATATTATGTACATTTTATATCTCTAAGCAAAATAAAAATGTTTGTTAATCCTTTTTTCTTGCACCTTCTGAGCTCAAACCCAAAATCCTTGTGGTTCCTGTGGCTCCCTGGGCTGGTTTTCCCATCAGGATTGAAGGACAGGGTGTCCTTAGCAGCCCCTTCTCATCTTTTTAGGATTTACCATGTTTAGTGTTTTTTAAGTAAAAAAAAAAATCCAGGTGACTCCTACATATTTTTTTCAACTTTTGGAATGAGATTGAGATTGGACACAGGGGTATTTTTGTATTAATTAATATTAACACTAATAACTATTATTGGTAAGAATAATAGAAGTGACCTGGAGTTTCCCACCTTTACATCATAAAATAGTCCTCAAAATCACCTCGACTGGCAGAAAGCAGAGCAAGGAGAAGGCTCAAGCAGTCTGGAATAGAAGGAAAATCTTCTCCTCCAGGGCTCGTTTTCCAGGTGATCCAAAAAATAGCCCTTGGATTCTGTACCTGAACAGTTCTGGTGCATCAGCACTTTTAATGCAAATTAATCCCTCTGTGGTTTCAAAATCCCACAAATTTTCTGCCTTCCAAAGGACTGGGAATGGAAAATGGATCTGAATTCTCTGGTGGCATCAGGTCCAGGCATTGCCTGAGCTAATTGCAGATGCCTGTTCTATATTTAATATAATAATAGTGTAATAATATATTAATCTAGTAATATAATAATATACTAATATAATAATAATAATTGCAGCTGCTTTTTCTATATTTAATACCTTCAGCAGTGAGGACATCCTCAAACACCAGATAAACTCCCTGCCTTCTTCCTCTTGGAAATTTCCTTCCCTGGACTAACTTGGAAGTGTAGAAAAGCAAGTGACTTCCCCAGGCTCTCCATCCCTGACAAAATAGTAATAAAATTTTAAAAAATAGCCTTTTACATGAGAGACACAAGAATTAGGTGGTCAAAATCTGTGGTATTAAATAAGGGGACACATTGGGATTTTCTCCCAGCACCCTTTGTTTTGTGATATTGGAATTTATTCTCCTGAGTCTCCACCAGGTTGTTGGGTTTATTTTCACACTGATGCCTGGCACAGATTAACATGAAGTTACTATTATTATTATTATTATTATTATTATTTTTATACTATACTATACTATACTATACTATACTATATTATAACATTGACTAGTGGGAATTTCAAGTGAATTTAGAGTGCTAAATATTTATTTTTTTATTGTTTGATGCCCAAATCAACCAAAATATGCTTGATTTTGCTGCTTGGAGCTGCTTTCTTGATTATTTTTGTGTGTGGACAACCTAACATTAAAAAATACAGGCTGAAAGAGAATAGATCTGAATTGAAGAATTTGCAAGGACTTTGCAAATACTTTGGTGTGAAACAATTTGGGGAACAGTGGTGGTGCTTGTCCATCACCACATGGAACGCTCCGGTGGGAAGCCAAGAAATCTGGATTCCAAACAAAAGAAAGGATAAGTTCTCCACAAGTTAATCCTTAGTCCTCCCAAAATTTAATTATTTCTTGTTTTCAAAATTGGGTAAATTCTGCTCAGCCCAGATTTCACCTTGATTTTCATCAGGTCATCTGTGTGCCACCTCCCTGCTCCCCTGCCTTGGTTCAAATGGGATAATATCCAATATTTCATCCAAACAGTTAAACTGAGGCCATTTATTCAAAATGAGACTTAAAAAAAAAAAAAAAATAGAAACCAAACTCTAACCCCAAACCAAAAGTGCTTTTATCACTTTTAGTTGGCTAAATATACAGAATTTCTTTGTGCTTTGAGCTGTGGTCAAACCAGGATAAGAAATAATGAGGCAGAACAGAAAAATGTTCTGCTTTACTTTTTGGGCATTGTTTGGGACTTTGTAATGTGTTTCTCTGAAAATAAAATGGCAAACACAGATTTCCAGCAAAGATAATGATGAGGAATCTCAGTGTGAAAAACAGGACAGGAGCTTTGGAAAAACAAAAGTTTTATGTGGGCTTGGAAATCCTTGAGGCTGTGGGGAATGAGAAACCACAAATCTGGCTTTTATATATATATATAATATTTTTTTAATTATGAAAATTTAATTAATAATTACATAATTTAATTTAATAATTTAATTTAATAATTTAATTTAATTATGAACATTTTGGCCACAAGTGGCCTGTCATTTGTTAGACTTTAAATAATTGGTGGTGGTGGTGTTGGAAACCTCTCTGCCAGCTGAGGACCCACCTGTTGGGATTGATTTCCTTAAGGTTTGCAGGTCCTTTTGGACTTGAGGCTCCCAGTTTCATTTCTGGGGATGCTGGGGATACCATCCCTCCTGGTGTTTCCATGGGGATACCATCCCTCCTGGTGTTTCCATGGGGATACCATCCCTCCTGCTGTTTCCATGGGGATACCATCCCTCCTGGTCTTCCCCTGATCCCTGAACCACAACAGAACAAAGCAGCTGGACAAGAAACTGTTCAAGTTCAGGGTGTGTGGCCTGGGAAAAGCCCAGGGGAATGTCTGGATAACACTCTTGGGAACATGGTGGTATTCTTAAAGTGTGTGTGCAGGGCCAGGAGTTGGACTGAATCATCCTTTAAGAGTTCTTCCAGCTCAGCCCATTCCATGGTTCTATAAAGGTGCCATGTCTCATATCCACCCACATTCCTGTCAGCAAAACAATACCGAACCAGATCTGACATTAAATAATTCTGATTGCCTGAGTGTTGCCTCCTAGCCCTAAAGGCAGGCTGGGTTTCTGACGGGGCTCAGTGACAGCCAGGCTGCTTCCCTCTGGCAGAAGCCAAACTCCTACAAGGACACCAGAACAGAAGTTGCCAGATGGCACCTGGTGCTCGACAAGGGGGACAGCATCTCACTGGAATATTGTGAGCAGCAGACTTGGAGGCCTGGGAGGTCAACAGCGGGGTTCCTTTGAGAGGGCTGGCCAGGATGGGAAGGGTGGCTGCCTTCCAGCTGGCTTTGGGATAGGGACCTGTTCCTCGGGGTTTCTCAGGGTTCAGAAGTTGCCAGGGTTACCTCGAGAGCAAGCAAACAACTCCTGTCGGCCTCAGCTCGGGGAACCGAGCTAAAAATAGGGGGCAGGGGCTTAAGGTGAAAAGCAGAGCAGTGAGCAGGCAGTGCTGCTGGGAAGCCAGGTCTGCTCATCCTCTGCAGGCATCCCAGCTCCGCAATTCCCAGCCAGAGCCAGCACGGGTGGGGTGAGCCGGAGGAAAGGGGGAAAGCTGGATGTTAACTGGCAACAACCTAGAGCAACGCCCACATTTGGCTTTTCCCTGGAAATCCTGGTGTTTAGAAACGGCATTTTTTAGCAGTAAGCCAAGTAGTTAAAAACCTGGATGATGACTGGAGAGGTGGGAGGTTCCTGGAAGGCAGGCAGGTGGGATTGCTGGCAGGGAGGTGGGATATCCTGTGTGTAACCCCGGCCTGTCCTGCCGTGCCCAGGTGCAGCTGAAGAGCGAGGAGGCCAAGACGTTCGCCATGAAGATCCTGAAGAAGCGGCACATCGTGGACACGCGGCAGCAGGAGCACATCCGCTCCGAGAAGCAGATCATGCAGAGTGCCCACTCTGACTTCATCGTCAGGTACCTCCCTCTGCCCCGGGCCCTGGGCCCTCAGCATTCCAGGGATCCACACAGGGATCAGCCAGACAGCGTGGAAAAGCCGTCAGCTCCGCTCCTGCGAGGGAATGGAGATGTGGAGCAGGAGGAATGAGCTGGGCAGAGCTCACTGGTGCTTCCAGACCATCCATGTGGAACCCCAGGATGATGTGGGTGGGAAGGGACCTTAAAGCTCATCCAGTTCTACCCCTGCCATGGTCAGGGACACCTTCCACTGTCCCAGGCTGCTCCAAGGCCCAAAGTCCAGCCTGGCCTTGGACACTTCCAGGGATCCAGGGGCAGCCACAGCTGCTCTGGGCACCCTGTGCCAGGGCCTGCCCACCCTCCCAGGGAACAATTCCTTCCCAATATCCCATCTATCCCTGCCCTCTGGCACTGGGAAGCCATTCCCTGTGTCCCCTGACCCAAGTCCCTCTCCAGCTCTCCTGGAGCCCCTTATATCTATCTATCTATCTATCTATCTATCTATCTATCTATCTATCTATCTATCTATCTATCTATTTATTTATGTATCATGATTTGGCTTTGCCCCTGCTCAAGGTTAATTTTCCTTTTCCTTCCCAATTTCTGAGTCTTCCTTCCCATTAAGGGAAGCTGGAAGGCAGGGCTTCACCCTTTGAAATGACACAGGGCCATGACAATGAGCAGCTGTGTCCAGCATTTCTCTTTAGGGAATATTTGACAACTCGAGTTCAGCATCCCTGGACTCCTCACAGGCAAACACATTAAAACCACCTTCCTGCCCCAAACCTAAGCACATCTCCAGGGAATAAAAGGGGCGACAGGCATTTTTGGTTGTTTCCACCCAAATTACAACGTTCCCTGGCTTTTAAGGGCCTGTGAGGACAGAGAGGGATTTCTTTCAATGCTGTAGGACAGGATAGAGCAGTGGATGCTGAGGATCTCTGGATCTACCTTGAAGGGCATCCAGGTGAAGGCTGCCTCATCCCAGCCTCAGAGATGCCTGGAAAACTTTTCTGCCTTAGGAGATCAGCCCTGCTCCCAGAAATTGCTCAGGAGAGCAAACAAACCCGGGGTGAAACCAAGCCCTTGGGATGAATCCAAAGGGAAGCATGTGGCCAGGCCGGGGCACTCAGGGGGTGTTTCCTTCCCAGGCTCATCCCTGGGATTCCCCTGGAGCCTGTGGCTTCTCCTGTGATTCATGGGTGACAACTGGAGCCCAACACTGCCCGGCTGCCATTTCCCTCAGGATGTGCTGTTGTATCCATAACATTCCTTGTTACCCAGGCTGGAGCTAAATATTCCCTGTGGGCTATTCCAGCCTCTGGATTTTTGGAAGGCTGAGCTGTTTGGGGATGAGAGGGAAAGTTCAGGGCCAGCCAAGCCACCCTTCCCAGAAATACCCATCCTGAGCCTCCAAGCATTTGTTAATGGAACCACTGATATTCATGGCTGATAAATGAAATCCTGCTTCATTCCCACTCTTTATCCTTCAGCAGGGAAGCAGAACAAGGATGTTTTACCTGTGCATCTCCTCTTTCCATATCCTGCAGTATTTCTCACCTTTTACAACAACAGCCATCCCTGAATTATATTTAATATCCCATGGAAACCCTCCTCTGGGAAGGGACTTTCCAAGTCACAAATCCAACCTTTTGCTATTGCTAGAAAATAATTGATTTATCAAACTTGGTTTCTGCTTTTTCCCCTCTTGTCCTCTTACCCATCCACAGGGATTTCAAGTTTTCCTATAGTTTCTATCCTAAAATTATTCAACTTGTTTATTGCTTATCCAGTAACTTGTTTATTCCGTTTCTTGGATCAGCTGGGATATTTTTTTTTTCCTGGGTGCAAAGTGCAGAAATTTGAATATTTCAGTAGATTTATTCAGTTTTGGGCTGATGGATGAAAGATGGGTTTAAAATAATCTTGGAGCAAGGGCACAACCTCTGGGATATTAGAATGGGAAAGACAAAATTCCTGAAGAACTTGGTTATTTTCTTAATTCATTGTGTTTGTTAAAAAGTCTTTGAAGAATAATTGAGTTTGGTTATTAAAATGAATTAAACCAGGCAAAAGGAGCAGGAGAGGCCAAATGGCACTAAATAAAATTGACTTTTAGATAAACTAAAACTCAAACAGGACAAAATGTTCTGGGCTGGATCAGGAACCAAACAAGTGCAAATATTTTGAGGAATAAAGAAATAAATAAAGAAGTTTTTCAAATATTGTGTCATTTAAACCTAAGTCTGAAATAATGCCCCTTCATGTATCTAAACTTTGTGCTTCCATGATAGCTGATAAATAATATTTGATTTTTTTTTATCTGTGTATTTTAGGCCAGATTTAATGCCCATAAAAATTTCAGCAGGGCTGCCTTAATTAGGGAAAGGATTTCAGTATTATTTAAATTACCAAACAATTAAAAACTATTTAATTAAAATTCCATTTTGGATTCTTGAAGTCTTATGTAAACTTTAATATAGATTAAATGTGTATTAAGAGAAATGATATTTTGTCCAAGTGGCAAGAAATAAGTGGGGGGATTTTTTGTTAAAACCATCAATTTTAGCATTATTTAATGGTCAGTTATAACTGACCATTAGTTTTGTATCAATAGAAATGGATGTCTTCCAAAGGAATAAAATCCTGCAGTGTTTTCCCGCTGATCTATCCCACAGCTCCATCAAAATCATAACTGGGGTTAGCAGGGAAGAGCTGGTATCTGCAAAACCCACCTGGTTTCACTTCCTTTGTGTGGCAGCAGCTTTTTTTAACCCCTGAAATTTTTACCTCCTGAATTTTTAACTCCTGGAAGCTCCGGGAATGCGGGAATTGCACCAGGAGTCACCCTCAGCATTCCTTCCTGTTGCAGAACTTGTTAAAATTATTATCCAAACAGCTGCCAAGAAACCTTCCCTGTATCCACACCCTGCTGGAAGCCTGGATGGATAAAGCCACAAGTGGAATAGGAAGTACAAAAGCAGCTGAACATTGAAATCAAGTAAAAAGAAGAATCTCTGTGTTTTTTCACCATAGTTATTTAATATTATTAAGCACATCTATAAATCTAATTAATGTAATATCATTAGAAAATCCTGTGGAGCACAGAGCATGGATTTTAGAGCACAGTTCAGAACTTGAGGATGGGTACACAAAGCCTGGCTTATCCCTTGAGGCAGTTTTTCCTCCACATTCCTTCCTGGGAGGAAGAGGAAGAGCATTTCAGCTTCTTTAAACTCTTTCAAACCAGCGAGTTTAATGTTTTTATAATGGATTTATTTGTGATTTTCTGCTTGCCACCCTCAGGCTCTACAGGACATTCAAGGACAGCAAGTACCTGTACATGCTGATGGAGGCCTGCCTGGGGGGAGAGCTCTGGACAATTCTCAGGGACAGGTGAGCTGGGACTTGTCCTGCAGACAGGGATGACTGAAATGTCAGAATTCCAACTGGAAGGGTTGGAAGGACCTCAAAGCCCATCCAGTGCCACCCCTGCCATGGGCAGGGACACCTTCCACTGTCCCAGGCTGCTCCAAGCCCCAAAGTCCAACCTGGCCTTGGACACTTCCAGGGATCCAGGGGCAGCCCCAGCTGCTCTGGGCACCCTGTGCCAGGGCCTGCCCACCCTCCCAGGGAACAATTCCTTCCCAATATCCCATCCATCCCTGCCCTCTGGCACTGGGAAGCCATTCCCTGTGTCCTGTCCCTCCATCCCTTGTCCCCAGTCCCTCTCCAGCTCTCCTGGAGCCCCTTTAGGCCCTGGAAGGGGCTCTGAGGTGTCCCTGGAGCCTTCTCTTACCCAGGTGAGCACCCCCAGCTCTCCCAGCCTGGCTCCAGAGCAGAGGGGCTCCAGCCCTTGGAGCATCTCCATGGCCTCCTCTGGATTTGCTCCAGCAGCTCCAGGTCCTTTCAATGTAACAGTTTTTAAATCACAATTTCCCATCTCAGAGCATTTCCCACCTGTGTGTTTGCAGCCCTCCTTCTGTGAGTGTGAATATCAACTTTCAGCTCTGCCACACGGACACTGATAAATAATATCCATAAATATTTCCCAGTGTTTATGGCCCAGCCAGGGCTGAGAGCAATGAGCAGCAGGAAATCTAGAGCTGGGCAGGGTCTGTTGACCCATATAACACCAGGGCTGCTGATTTAAGTGAGAATCAAAATCCACACCCTGCCAGGAGCACTCTTCCATCAGGATGCAGCAGTGACATGGAAAAAATATTAGTTAGGAAAGCATGAGATGCCCAAAACCCCACAGTCCCTGCCTTGGGAGGGCTGACCTTGGAGTGTTTTGGGTTTCTGGGTGCACATGGGATGTGCCCACAGAGCAGGAAATGATGTAGGGAATTGTAACTCTGCAATAGCCTCATCACTGGAACAGAATTCCATTAAATTTAGAAAGATTAATCAGAAAGCCAAGATTAAATTGTCTTTTAATTCCCCAAGTTCTTCCTTTTCCCAGCAGCCTTTTTCTCACTGAAACAGGAACTGGAGCAAAGTTAGAAGGTGCTGGGTAGGATTTTTCCTGATCTTTTCTCAGAGCCTGATAATTCCATCTCTGATTCTCTGGGATTTAAACTGAGGTTCTGCTGCCATCTAGCTTAGGCACCCTCCTGGTCTCAGCCAACCCCCAGCACGCAGGGGGATGTGGTTTCTTTGGAAAACTGTGGAAACAAGGATCCAAAGGTGCAGTTTGGAATTTGCATTAACTCTTCAAGTCCCAGCAGCTGTGATTTTTCTGCCTTTTGTCTGAGTTAGGAACATTAATACAGAACTTATCTGCATTCCTCAAAGGAGTTTTAACACTCAAAAACTAAAGTTGTAATTAGAAAAAAATAACTTTTTGCTTACAAGACAAGGATTTCAAAGTTTTATTTCTAAATTATAGAATAAACTTTAAAATAGTTTCAGACATTGGAGGCAAAGAGGCATCTTCAAAAATGGAAATTTAATTAGATTGAGATATAAGGGTGAATTTAGCAACAGAAACTTTCCAGGTGTTAAAAAGTGATTTTACTGCAGTGATAAAAGTTTCAACAGCAGAATTAATTCCATGAGGAAGGAAACCACTTTCCAGGGATTCATCTAATGGCTTTATGCCTTTTTCCCTCCCTCCTTCCCACAGGGGTTCATTCGAGGATTCCACGACCAGGTTTTACACGGCGTGTGTGGTGGAAGCCTTTGCCTACTTGCATTCCAAAGGGATCATTTACAGGGACCTCAAGCCAGAGAACCTCATTCTGGATCACCGAGGTTATGCCAAGCTGGTGAGTGCCAAAAAAATTCCCCCCCAGCTCCCACAAAGGTTTGGCCAGAGAGGAGCAAAGTCCCCCCAGGGGGCCCATCAGGGGATGCTGAGAGGAGATCAGGGTGAGGTGTTGTCATCACCACTGGGATGTTTTCCTGCCTTCCAGCAGGGCTCAGGGCATGGCTGAGCTGGAAATGCTGATTCTGGCTCGGCATTCTGATCCACACTCCTGGAATGCTGAGAAAAGAGCATCAGGAGAAAGCCACCTGGCTGTCTTGGGCGAAGAATGACCTGTTGCCCTAGAACTCAGGAGAGGCACCCTGCTTTTCAGGGTACCCAAATGGCCTGGTGAGAGTCTGGAGAGGGGCAGGAGAGAAGAAATTGTTCCCTTGGTGGGAGGTGCTGCAGGATGTGGGCCCTTGGGAAGCCACCAGTGAAGGACAGGAACCCTAAAAGGAGCTGGTCCAGAAGGGGCTGATGGCCCCTGGGAGTCATGGGGGGCCAAGGGCTCTGTGCCTTGCTCTGGGGGCTCTTTGGGGTGGGAGCAGCTGGGGACAGTAACTCAGCCCATCGTCACAGCCTGTTGGCAGCCTCCACGTGTCACCTGCTGAGTCATGTTGGGGTTTTCCCCTCTGCAGCGTTTCCCTGAGGCTGGGGCTCCTCTGAGGTGTCGGGTGGTAGAAGAAGATGAGGTGCAGGACTGTCCTTCTCCCACCCCAGGAGGATCTGGGGCTCTGCTGGTCCCTCCCCAGCTCCCCAGGCGTGTCCCTGAGCATGAGTGTCCCAGGTCCTCTGTGGGCTGTGACCATGTGGGTTCCTGACCACCCCCAGGGGACTCCACTTCCCAGGACAATCTGATTTTCCACGCTTGCCACTGCTGTAGGGCCACAGCGAGGCTGGTGAGCCCAGCAAATCCCAACAGCCAAACTGGGACGACACTTGTACTGCTTCACTCCTTGTGGTGGGAGAGAAAACCAAACTTGGAAGCAGGTGCCTAAATCACAGAATTCTGGAATGGTTTGGGTGGGAAAGGACCTTAAAACCCACCCCACTTCACCCCTGCCATGGGCAGGGACACCTTCCACTATCCCAGGCTGCTCCAAGCCCCAAAGTCCAACCTGGCCTTGGACACTTCCAGGGATCCAGGGGCAGCCACAGCTTCTCTGGGCACCCTGTGCCAGGGCCTGCCCACCCTCCCAGGGAACAATTCCTTCCCAATATCCCATCTGACCCTGCCCTCTCACAGCTTAAAACCATTCCTTACCCATGTTAATTTAAATTTGAAAGAAAAAAAGCAAAATAAATCAACTGAGCTGTGGGTGATAGAAATTTTCAACCCCCAAGAAACCCTTGGTGCGGGTCATGCTTCCCTCATGGGAATTTTCCCAAGGAAAAATCAGCAAAAAGGTCACTGTGGTTCCCTGGTCCTGGAATGACCCTGGGTGCTTTAATTAGGAGAAAAATTCCCATGAGGAATCCTCCTTTCTGCCTTGCTTCACTTCAAGAGGAGCAGAGCCCACGGCTGACATTCCCTCTGATGCCCTGCCCTGACGCTCTCCTGCCCCTTCCCCCAGGTCGATTTTGGCTTTGCAAAGAAAATAGGATTTGGAAAGAAAACATGGACTTTTTGTGGCACCCCGGAGTACGTAGCCCCCGAGATCATCCTGAACAAAGGTCACGACATTTCAGCAGACTACTGGTCCCTGGGAATCCTGATGTATGAGCTCCTGACTGGCAGGTATGGGCATCGAAATTCATCCCAAGATTTCTGCCCTTGTCACCCTGAGAAGGCCGGGGCAGGGCTGGGCCAGGGAGCTCCATGGTGGCTTTTCCACTGAAATCATCTTTTTTTTTGGCTCTGAGTGGGCTGATCATGATGGGAAAAGAGCAAGAGTTTGGCCCTGAATGGTCTGGAAATGATGGGAGAAGGGTGAGGGTTGGCACTCAGCTGGGGAGGTTGGGTCCTGAACGGGCTGAACATGGTGGGGAAAGAGGAAGGGTTTGGCCCTGAACGGTCTGGAAATGATGGCAGAAGAGTGAGGGTTGGCACTCAGCTGGGGAGGTTCCTCACTGCTGGGAAGGAGGAGGTGGTTTGGGCACCATCCATCCCTTCCCATATTTAATTTGGGATTTCACTGCTGCTCTTGGCAGGGGTGGCTTCCTGGAGCTTTCTCACCTCTTCCCCCAGCACTCAGCCCCAGGAGCTGGGGAAGGATCCATCCCCTCCACCGGCCCATCCTTCAGGGCTGCGCACACACAACTCCCCATCCGTGGAAAGCCAATTAATCCCCACTGGAATCAGGTCCCATCACACAAAGATAAACCAGGGAATGCTGCTCAGAGCCTCCTGCCTCAGGCTGTTTCCACACAGCTTCCATGGGAAGAAGAGGTTTAGCACGGAAAACTTCCTGGTATTTTTCTGCAGCCAACATCCCTGAATTCCAGAGCTCCTTGAGAAATGGTTAGGATCATGGGGAGCAAAGCATTCCTGGTTGACATCTACCTTTTCTCGTCTGGGTTCATTTTATCAGACTTTAATGCTGTTTTAAAGAGAAATTTTTATGAATGATGAGTTTTTAATCTTTTCTCCTTCCCTGTGCCCTCTGAAGTCCCCCTTTCTCAGGCCCAGACCCCATGAAGACCTATAACATCATATTAAGGGGAATAGACATGATCGAATTTCCAAAGAAGATTGCCAAAAATGCTGCTAATTTAATTAAAAAACTATGCAGGTAAGTGGATGAAAGAACAAAACAAAAAGCCTTGATGTTATTTGCAAAGAAATGAGCTGGGCAGAGGGATTTAGGATTTGTTATTCCTTTTACAGGGACAATCCATCAGAAAGATTAGGGAACTTGAAAAATGGAGTGAAAGATATCCAAAAGCACAAGTAAGTGTCTTCTCCAGCAGCCATCAGCTCCAACCCCCAGAAAGAGGCATTTCAAACACCTCAGTTTTCTTCCTATCCATAATGTAAATTCATCTCCCCTTTTGGTCCCATGGGAGTGGTTACGTCATGTCTTAGGAGTTTGTTGGGATAAGAACAGGTGAGAGACCCATTCCAGGAACAATTTCTCTCATCCATCTGTACTGGATCTCCCCTTCTCCCATCCCCAAAGCAGCAGGAATGGATTGGATGGATGGTTTTGTGGGAAGGCTCAGGGATCATCCACCCACCTTGGGGCAAACCTGAGGAAAACCACAAGTGGGACATCACTGAGCATGAAGGTGGGAGTTAACCCAATTCCATGGGGAAAAAAGGGCCTCCTGTGGGAGGGATTCACCCTGTGGAAGGGAAGGAGCAGCTTCCAGGACACCTGCAGCAAGGAATGGTTCCCATCTGAGTGTTGGCAATTTCCGCTTCTGTGGCATCACCATGGGGTTGCTGCACACTCTTCTTCCTTGGTCCCCAAAAAAGATGACAGGAAAAATTCCAAAGGGATTTGAAGGCAAAACCTGTGGGAGATGAAACCTGTTGCTTTAGCGAATTTCTTTTCTTCCTGTGCTACACCTGTCTAACTGCTGGATTCTTCCTTCCCTTCAGATGGTTTGAAGGCTTTAATTGGGAAGGATTACGGAAAGGGACACTGACACCTCCCATAATCCCAAGTGTAAGTTTTTCTATCATTATTTTCTCCTCCATGGCCAATTCCTCAGGGATGCTGTGAGCTTTGGGCAGTGGTATGTTGGGTTAAGTGGGAATAATGTGCTTTTTTTCTTCTGGAGATGCTTGAAAAAGTCACTCCAGGCACATTCCCAGCTAAGCTTGCTCTCCAGGGAGGCTCTTCCCTGGGAAGGCAGTTTGAGGAGGGCACAACCATGAAGAAATCCCCTTTGTAGCAGGGAATCAAGGCAGGATCACTCACTCCAGTAAATTTTCCTCTCTCTCACCTGCTCCACTTGTTTCTGCATCTCCTTTTCCCATTTCTGTGGAGAGCTGCCACTTCCACCCCTTCTCTCAGCTGTGTCCTCTTGCCTTGAAGGAGACTTCATTCTCATTTCCTTTGGAAAGGCAAGTGGGATTTGGATGCTATCTTCCTTTCCTTTCACATTAACCTTCCCTTCTGTGCTGTCTTTTGTGCCTGTGCCCCTCTTTCCCCTGCATCCATGTCCTACATGAAAAGCGTTGTTGATGTTTAACCGGGAGCAGGCTCGGAGGGACAGCTCCACTCATTTTCCTTTGGAGCAAAGCCCTTCCTTTGATGTCTTTGTGAGCTCTCTGCCCTCAAAGCCCCGCTGCAAAGGGAAGCCAAACAGGATTAGCTGACAGAAATTACCTCAGCCCCTTCTGTCCTGCAGCCTCCCCTCCTTGTTCCAGCTTAATCCCTGGGGATCACCGGGAGAATGCCATTAATGGGGGTTCAGTTGCACCCATTGCTCCGTCCTGCAGCTCCTGCAGCCGGCCCAGCTCCGGGGCTGAATCTGCCATCCCAAAGTCTGCTTAGGGAAAGAGCAGGAGGGTTTCCCATCCCCCCCTTTTGCCCTGTGGGATGCAGGAGCTCCTGGAGTCAGTGGGAGAAAGCAGAACTTGGCAAATCTCTCCCATAGCAATTCAGAAATGTTTTCATGTTTCAGAAGCTGGATTTGGTTGGGGTTTTTTTTCTCCTAAGCTCAAGCTACCATCTTGGGATGGTTTGGGTTGGAAGGGACCTTTAAGCTCATCCAGTTCCATCACCTTCTGTGGGCAGGGACATCTTCCACTATCCCAGGTTTCTCCAAGCCCTGTCCAACCTGGCCTTGGCCTATTTTTAATGCCTATTCATCCATCCAGAGGACCACTTTTCAAGTCAGGCAATAAATTCAAGTTTCCTCCTCCACATCCAGCTGCAACTCCTGATTTAGGAATGCAGGATGTCCATGGAGCCTGAAAAAAAAACAAAACAAAACAAAACAAAATGTCTTCCTAACTGGTTTTGGTGGATTTTTAGTTTAGCAGGAGCATTTCCAACACTGCCCTTACCCCATATAGCAAGGCTGACTGGAATAGACGGGAGCATCCTTCCCTCTTCCAGGACAGCTCCAGGCTGGCCCTAATCCTGGTTAAACCCAGCTCATCCTTTCCCTGAGCTCTTGGGCGTAGCAGCTCCTTCAGACCTGCTCCTGAGATCCTCTCCAAACCCATGAACTGCGAATTTTGTCAACCCCAGAGCTGTAAATCCTGCTCCACCTTGTTTCCCACAAATTTTTTTGGCAAAGTCTCAACTGCCACTCTGAAAAGGGACCCAAAATACAGCTCTGGGGGCAGGCATCTATTTTTCCTTCAATCCACCTCTCCTTGTTAGCTGGGAAAGAGCCAGCAGGAACAAACATACAGATTAGTTCCTTTTCCTTTGAAGAAAAAGACCTTTCCCAGTTCTTAAACTCTCATTTCTTACGTGGCACTGCCAGTGAGGCAATCAGAGCTCTTATTCCATGGGATTTTTGGAAAGATCCCAGTTTACAACATGCTGCTATGACACTGCTGAGCCTCAATATCACAGCTGGAATCTGTGATTTTACCTCTCCTTAAAAGCTCAGGCCTCTTCCAAAGATGAGCTGAGGAAGCAAAGGGTGAAGGAGCCCCAGTGAAGTCAACAGATCCAGATAATCCTAAAGAAATGAAAACCACTAAGATTTTGTAGGGTGGGTTTATTTTTCCAAAATGAGTTGGGTATTCCATGATCCCGATTTCCCCCAATACGTGTTCAGCAGCAGGAAAATGCTGATGCAGTTGGGCAGCACATTAAATGCAGAGCTGGAGTTGGAACTCCTGTCTTTTCCCAAGGCTTGCAGCAACATCCAACATCAAGTGGGAATCTTAGGAAGGTTTACAAGGCCAAGTGGGACCCCTGAGATCAATCCAGGCCCAATACTGGAAAAAAAATATTGTTCCCTGGGAGGCCTTGGCACAGGGTGCCCAGAGCAGCTGTGGCTGCCCCTGGATCCCTGGAAGTGTCCAAGGACACTTGGGATAGTGGAAGGTGTGGCAGGGTGGGACTGGATGGGCTTTAAGGTCCCTTCCCACCCAATCCATTCCAGAATTCTAGGATTTAATGACTGTCAGTTGGCCCCTGGCTCAGGTTCTTCCCAAATGAAATGACTGAAAACTGCAGCAAGTGTTTTCCTGCTCTGGGTAAAGCTTAAAGTATTAAATTTCTAGTAAGACTCTCATTGTTTTGGGCTGGAGAGTTGCTGGTTTCCTCTTATATTGTTTTTTTGGGTTTGATTGTCTTGATTTTGCCAAGTCCTCACTGTAAGAAAGCTTCCCTCACTGTCACAAAGCAGGAAGAGCTCAAATTCTATAGCCAGGGTAGATTTCAATTGTCATGAATTCTAAAAAAGAAATGGGCTTGGCCTTCATCCCGGGAAGATGGGTTTCTCTGGAGGGATCCTGAGGCTGAGCAATGTCAGGAAACATAAAGGCAGCAGGGCTCAGCTCAGCATCCTGGAGCCATGGATGGGAAATCCTGGGCTCGAGGAGGAGGCCTTTTCCAAGTCTGTTGTGATAACCTTGTGGCAACAGGTAGGAAAACTCAGGAGAGTAGGGGAGCTGGGGGAAATCCCCCAGCAAAAAGCTGTGGATGCAGCCCTTCCCTGGCTTGCTGGGGATTCTCTGGGATGCCCATGGCTGTGGGCTAAAGAGGGAATGTCAGCGCTAGGATGAACATCCCCTTCGTGTCGCTTTTCCCCCCACAGGTCACGTCTCCCACGGACACAAGCAACTTCGACAGCTTCCCAGAGGACAGTGACGAGCCACCCCCTGACGACAACTCAGGATGGGACATAGATTTTTAATGTTATTTCTCTTACCTGCTTCTGCCTTGCCGAGGACAGCTTTTCCTGGGACGTGGCTGCCAGCGGAACGGGAAGACCGGAATTGGGGAGGATTCGTGCTCGGGGTCACCATGATGCCTTGATTGATGCTGCTCCAGTAACTCCAGTGGCATTAGGACTTCTTGCTTAGTGACAATAGTGCTCTCCATGTTTTCTGTTGGAACGTGACCTGGCGTGGGCACGGTGGTCCTGACACAGAGCCTTTCTCCGGCACAGAACTCCTCTTCTGTCGCCACAGAGATCCTGGCACACTCTTGATTAGCAGAGTGAGAGATCTGTAGAGTAAGAGGCACTTAATTCCAGCTGCTTTTTCCGTAGGATCAGTAGTAACTTAAGAAGTGCTGCAGCTACTCCAGTGCAGGATTTGGGCTATTCCCACCCTCTGAGCTCCGCAGGGCAGCGCCGGAGCCCAGGAGGAGCACGGGCAAAGCACTCCCGTCAAAGCAGTGGGGAATGTGTCCTTTTCCTTTCCTAGCAGTGTTCCCCACGAGACTGAATGTTCCATTTCCTCTTTGTTTTGGAAACATTTTGGCTCAGCCTGGTCAAACAAAAGCACAACTGCTGCAGATGCTGTCAAGGCAGAGTTGGGTCGCTTCCCTCACGTGGAAGCACCACCTTTGGGCTTCAGTTCTCCTTTCCCTTGGTACCAATACATGCATGGAAAGAGAAAAATCATGGAATGAATCCATTGTACCTCTATCGATCCATCGTACATCTGTTGATCCATTGTACATCTATTGATCCATTTCACATCTATTGATCCATTTCACATCTATTGATCCATTTCACAGTGCTCCAGTCACCGTCCTGAACAAAGCAACAGCAGCCCACCCGTCTGATTTGGTATAAAATTAAGGATAACTTTGACCTTTTTAGGCCCAAAGGGAAAAATATGAGACCTGTGATGTCCTTTCGAGGTGCTACATCCAACTCTCACCTGGGAAGAAACCTGTCCCTGAACCATCCTGTCAGGAATATGTAGCAGAGGCTCTGTTCTCCCTTTTGATGATTCCATGTCTCCATGTCTGCATCTCTTCTGTGTTTAAAGAATCTCATTAAAACAGAAATCCCGGGCCAGTCTGTTGGCTCTGACGGACCGTTGCCAATAATCCTGATGCCTCTCCAGGCTAAGGAGCTCCACAGGAAAGTCAGTGGAATTCAATGGGAAATGGATATTGGAAGATCCCTGTGAGGTCTCCAGCGTGCCAGGTCCACGTGATTGTGTTTAACACAGGCATGGCCAAATCCATATGGAAAAAAGAACTGGGAAAAACAATATTATCAGGATATGCTTTTCCCTCACTTCTACTGCTTTTCCTTTGCTTGAATTCCCTCCTCTGGTTTATAGGATGCAGCAGAGGGATCCGGGGTGTCCATTTGTCCCATATACACAGGACTAAAAGTGTATCCCATTACCCAACAGGAAACATCAGCTTTTGGTCTCTCTGTGAGACCTTGCCACAAAAAGACACAGAATCATGGAATGATGGGATGATTTGGTTTGCAAGGGACCTTAAAGGTCCTCTTATTCCAGCCCCTGCCATGGATGAGCAGGTGCTGCCTCCTTCGACCTCAGCTGCCAAGAGCCGAGGAAAGATCAAGTCTCACTGACAAGGACTTTTCCCACATATTACATGGAAAAGGTCTGTTTGAGCAGTAAAAAATTCCTTCCCTGATGCTAAGTCCCAACTCTTCTGCATGTTTTTCATTAAAGGATTTAATCAAAAGGGTATTTTGACAGCGTGGGCCATGTCTGCTGTTTAACATGAGCTGGGTCGTGTGACACCTTTGAAACCAGTCTGGTTCTGGAATTCCCTCTGTTTTCCAAAGGGTGAGGCCACACCTCTGGCACAGAACTTCTGCTGTTATTTAACCATTAAAACTTCGTTTGCCTTTGAAATCACAGGGAAAAGGCAGCACCTGCTGACTTTTCCACCTTTCTCCAAGGGATGGACAGCACTGAGAGCCAAAGCTGAGCACGAGGGCTAAAACATTCACCAGGCATCTTAACAGGCCTAACAGGCAAATGCTCCCCTCACATCCCCCTGGATTTTCATTCCATGGGGACAGCTTTCTGTAGGAGTTTGTCCCAGGATGGTGACACCTGACGCAATTGGCAGGCAAGGAGGATAAAGCACCGCAAGGATTTGGGGATCAACCTGAAAATGTGACATGAAGGAGTGTCTAGAATGGGCTGAGGAGTTTGGTTTCTTTCTCCTGTCCCTTTTTAGCTTGTGCCAGGCATGGGAATTGACACCTGCAGTGTGCACTGTGCTGAATCTGAGTTTATTTTGATATCAAACACCTCACTCGACTTCCACGGCCTCTCCTGAGCATTAACACTTTGCATATGTATATGATAAGCCTTCAGTTATAATAATATATTTAAGTTGCTTTATATATATCTCTATATATCCACAACAAGGGATTGCCTCTGTGTTTCCACCTCTGTCCTTATTTCTTTGTCTCCTTTCCTGATCTATGGGACGACAGTGTTTTTAGGGAAGGGGGAATTGGCTCCCGTGTTTCCAGAGGGGGCTTTGATCGGTGTTGTAGCTTCTCCTGGAGCTGCATTGCCCACAGCAAACTCTTCTTCAACAGCAGGACCACGAGCAGATATTTCTGTAAATAGGTATTTTCGTGTCGATGTTTTGTGGGTCACACAGAACTTTCTGTTCTTTTCCAGTTCCATGGCATTATTCCTTCATTTCCTTATTTGTAATGTAATGTTTTTAGGTCGAGGTAGACTTGAATTAGTGTCATATTTGTCAGTATGATTAAACTTTCTGTCAGCTGTCCCGTTCACCCACCTGTCCCATAGTTCTAGAACGTCACTGGCTATCTGGCATTGTTGCAAGTGCCTTAAATCCATGGCATCTTATTAAAAAAAAAAGAGAAATTTGGTGTTATGCTGCATGACAAAGACAAACACACCTCAAACTGTCGTCCTTTCTTAGCTTGCTGCGTTTTACAGTTCTTTCTGCTACCGATTTCTAAGCCTTTATTATCTGATCTCTATGAATTACAGAAATGATGACGTCGTTCTCTGATTTCTGTTCAATGTACCAGAGCTGTGTATCTGTTAATGAGATACAGAGTCATTTCTGTGAAATGTATAAATGTGATGTGCGGGTCAAATTAATCTCTGACATCCTAGCAGTCCGTAGACAGGTATTCCTGTTTTGCTAAGCTCTGCAGATCCCACCCATCTGTGCTGTCCCACACAGCCCCCCTTGGGAATCTCCCACCTGGGAAAAATCCACCCTCACCGGCGTTTTCCCAACCTGAAACCCCGGTGCAAAGACAAGGCTCATTTGCACCGCTCAACAAAACAGGATCTGTGCTTTACCCTGCCCCGTTCCCTGCATCCACGGGGATGAGCCCTGGAAGCTCCTCCGTGGCTCCCCGGCCCTGACACCGAGACTTGGGCGCTTTTAGGGCTTTCTCAGAAAAAGGGGGAATTCCCATTTGGAGTTGCCTCTCCCCCCCGAGTCCCAATTTACGCTGGTTTTACCCCAGCCCTTTGTTTTATACTCTGATTTTTCTCTCCTTCCATGGCAGAGGTTTTGTTTGTCGGGCAGATGTCGGTCACGCCCCGGCCATCGGCCGCTTGCACTCTTTGGATGTTGACTGAGGAACTTCGGGTTTTGTGTTTTTTTTTCATAAACTTCCATGGCTTTTGTTTCGCTCTGTACTCCCCCTGCAGCTGTAATTGCCGAGTGCCTGTTGTATACTTTATAGAGTTGAAATAAAAATAATTACTTTTGAATGGCTGTCAGTGGGTGTCTTCCAGAGCAGGAGCCGAGTTTGGGAGAGATCTTCTGGATGGTGGTGAAATGTGGGGTTACAGGGGTTCTGCTCCCAGAACTGGTTGCCCAGAGCAGCTGTGGCTGCCCCTGGATCCCTGGAAGTGTCCAAGGCCAGGCTGGATGGGGCTTGGAGCAGCCTGGGATGGTGGAAGGTGTCCCTGCCCATGGCAGGGGTGACACTGGATGGGCTTTAAGGTCCTTTCCAACCCAACATCATCCTGTGATTTAATGATGACACACAGGTGAGCAAAAGCTGGGAGAAAGGAGCAACAAAACATCCTCTGAGGAGGAAGATAAATGTGGTAACAGCCCGAGGAGGAGCCGGGAATCATCACCAGTCATTCTGTGGGATGCAGCAATCGCAGGTCGAAGTTAATAATGCAATAAAAACCCCGGGGTGACGTGGCCCTCACCTGAAACTGCCGGGAGAACGCCGAGATTTCGGGGCGAGGCATGGCACTCGCTATTCCAGGCTAAAAATAGGGAAGGCAGGAGGGGTGGCCGGGCTGTGCTGGGGATGTCGCCCGGCCGTGACTCAGCCGCTGCTGACGGCACCTGCCCGCTGTGCTCCCGAAACCTTCCCAGGCAATTATTAGCCCGGCTTGAGCCATTCAGGGCTGGAACAGCTGATAGTGGATACCGGGACAGCGATACCGGGACCGGGGGCGGACCTTAATTGCAGGAATTGCAGCGTCCGAATCCCCACGGGGGATTCTGCTGTTCCGGCTCTTCGTATTCTCATTTAAACCAAGCTGAGAAAAGAAATAAACGGGAGCACGGGGCCGCCGCCAGGAAAAGCCGGGTTAATTAACGGGGCTTAATTAAGCGGAGTTAATTACCGGACCGGGGAGGGGGAGAGGGGCGCGGCGGGGCCGCCAGAGGGCGCGCTGGGGCCGGGGGAATGGGGGGGAATGGAGGGAGCGGAGAGGGAATAGAAAGGGAATGGGGGGGAGAGATTGGGAAAGGAATTGGGGGGGGGGGGG